CCCCGGCACAGCCATTGCGGCCAGCAAGCAGAGCTAGCCCCCCGGCGGCCCGCTGGCTCACATGTAAACATGTAAATAAACACATGTGAAGACTTTTTATTACTTTTTTTTGCAAATCAACAGGTGGTGCCAAAGCCAAACGAAGGGCAGCTACAACAAATTATCATTGTAATCTCCACAATANCCCCGGCACAGCCATTGCGGCCAGCAAGCAGAGCTAGCCCCCCGGCGGCCCGCTGGCTCACATGTAAACATGTAAATAAACACATGTGAAGACTTTTTATTACTTTTTTTTGCAAATCAACAGGTGGTGCCAAAGCCAAACGAAGGGCAGCTACAACAAATTATCATTGTAATCTCCACAATAATACTGGTTGTCACCCTGGCCCATATCATTTCCTGTTATAGACTAACCTCGGCCCCCCATCTCAGAAAGGAAAGTTGATGTGGCCCCCACTGAAAAAAGTTTGGGGACCGCTGAACTAAAGTAAACAGAAATGATCCTGTATAAACATGTGTTCACATGATGTAAAGGTACCATGTGGACTGCAGTGTTTTGATGAGTGACAGTGACACACATTTTTATCTTTTGCAACATCTAACAACCATGGAATTAAAATTTTATCCACTGTCACACTGTCAAACCAATTATAAAGTGTCTGCTGTAATTCTAGTCCAGTAATAATATTTCCAATGCCAAAGCCATGAACATGACTGTCTCTAGCTTTAGTTGCTGTGCCTGCTGTTACAGTGGCCGGTAGCAGAGGAGGAACTAGCAAAATAGTTTCCTAAGTTTGGTATGAGTATTGTTTGGCTGATTTAGGCTTCTTCTGCACCAGAGGGCAGCACACTAGCGGAGCAATGCACGGATGTTGTGGCAAATATATTGAATAAAGAAAGCAAAAAAATAACAAATATAATACTGTTAAAATTGACTAGAATTTGATGAGGTGAACGGAGTAACTTGTTTCATACGGGAGGTGGTGTAAGTTTTGCTAAACTATTATGTAACATTTATATGCCCATAGCAAAAATAAATAACCATAACAGCTTATTTGGATGCATATTCATGGTATATTGCCGCTAGTTAGGCTGTGATGTATCCTAAATTTTAAAGTAACTACTGGGTCCCAAATAAATTTCACATCCCAAGTGAAACCACAGAATATTGCAAACTGATGTCATCACAAAATAGAGACAGTGGTGGTTTCAAACCAGTCAAAGAAAGCGTTGCTAATGTTTAATGGATGGTGGGAAAAACATTTTGTGTGATGATTCAGAGATGTAAGTGAATTTTTCTCTGTTCTTCTATCCGTCTCATTTGTCCATGAATTATGTATGTTTACTCCACAAGGTCACACAGAAACACAAGCACATACACGTTTGGACAAAGAGGCCAATATGACACATACATCAGTATGTGTCATATCAGGGAAAAAAAAGAAAAAAAAAAGGTGTGTGTGTGTGTGTGTGTGGAGGGGGGGCTTCTGAAGAGACAGGCAGATGTGAAGCCTGCCCCTCCCACCTCCTCCCTCCTATATAACTGGGCCATCTCACTGAAAAAAGAGGATGTTATTTTAGGGTGTTATTAGAGATCAAAGCTAAAGATAAATCCCTAGAGATTGTAAAGCTCTGTATTCATGTTCTGTAAGGCTCTGCTTTGCTCTGATTCCCTTCTTCTTCACAAAGCCCTCCTGGACTGTACCACACACTGTTCTAACAGGAAGAAAAATACCTATAGGCTTCTCTGGAAGGTTAGAGGTAGTAAGGCAGGGTTGGTGGGTTTGGAGCTGTGATTGAATGGTCACCAATGAGAAGTGCTTGCAAACAGACCTGGTCAATCCACAGCTTGCCCACAATGATGTTGTGCACCGTGGAGGTGACCTTTCTCCACACATAGTGGTTCCCGCTGGCATGGAACTGCAGGTGAATGGCACCTGGGGAGGGACAGGGACAAAAGGCTGTAAGGGGAGAGAAATATCACAGCTGCTTTTGTTACCAATCTGCAACTGCAGACCTGAGAATGATGTGTTAGATTGTGTGTCTGTTTGTGAAGATGGACACTTCTACCTGGAGCAGCTGAAAACAACATGTCATCTAACACATTTATGCCCAGTGCGCAAGAAAGACCTTTCCACCTATTTACAGTGTGACCTAACCCCAGAAGACTGATAACATGTACCTTACCATAAACACTTTCCACCTCAGAGATTTTTCTTCTCCTTTTTATTTATGATTTATTTGGGGAATTTTTTACCTTGGGCTTGAACTGGGGCCACTGCAGCAAGGAATCAGCCTTGATACAGTGATACAGTTTATGCTATGTGTTTAACCAGGTGAGCTACCGGTGCGCCCCCAAACGTTTTTTCTATTACATGGCACCTCACAGCAGGCATATAACAGGAAGACAAAGAAAGTCAGATAAATACCACTGCATTTCTTGATGGGACTACATATATCAAATCTCTCAGACAACAGACCCTGCTTTCTACTGCCCCAGTCCAATAGAGACCTCCCTTTATATCCATAGTTTATGTGTGTGTCAAAGGGGTCATAAAACCCTCCTGGTTCATTCTCAAACCCTTTCCTCTGGGTTTAGATTGTGCAAGAGGCAGATCAGTTGTCTACCACTCTCAAGTGGGATATCTGGTGCTGGAGCTGTTCAATTTGTATGATGGAGCCTTTACTTACACATATAGTTCGTATGCTTCCCAGCTGAATGTGAAATTTCTTACCCAGAGGCATTATGGAGAGGTATTTGCCGCGGAACTTGCTGGCAATGGTGATTTCCTGCCACAGGGTCCAGCCTCGTTGGGAAATCACATGATGTGCAGCTGCAGGGGGGTGATGGCTCACCTTAGAAGAAAGACGGACACAAAGGTAAAGTAAAATATGGGAAATGTGTTCGCATTAAGCAGCAAGCGCTTAACAACTGGTTTGGAGAACACAGTCTGACCTCATGTACATCAGTTTGTGTGTCATGTGCTTGCATGCAAATCAGTGAGCGTGTAAACAAAAAACTGCCTGTTGCCGTGCTGGTACCTGCTCACACAGCGAGCGGTAGCCGAACTCTTCCAGGCGATCGAGCTCGTAGGTCTCGCCCAGGAGGGGGTTGAAGGGCTTCGCTGTCCGGTGGACTGTTGTGGAGTAAGAGGAGACCGAGAAGGCAGCAACCAGGCACATCTGCTCCAGGGAGGACTCACAGCGTGCTGCCTTGTCCAGAAGCTCATGATACTCCAGGTCCTCAGTGAGACGCTGCAGCATTGACAGGGGCTCATTGAAGTTTACCTGAATGGAAGATAGAGAAGGAGTGAAACTCATTAGATATAATTCACACAGATTTATGCCAACCTGTCAGCAAGGAGGAGGACCATGCCTCATACACTTACAGGCATGGGGATTTTAGAGAGCTCCTTGCCAATGCAGTTCTTCATGATGCTCCATAAATTGAGGGAGTAGTTGGGCTTGTCTGGGATATGAGTCCGCCTCTGTCTGCGGGGCTGCAGCTCCTTCCCTGACACATCGTTACAGCTGGGAGACATCTGGGATTAGGTTGCAGGTGAGGGGGAGAAGGATGAGAAGGTGGTATCTTAACTTTGTATAAAAAGAATATTCAGTATATATATATATACACGTTTGAGAAATACTTTCAACTTCATGGACAGCTTGGCAGCATATCATCAGGCAAAGAGAGCAAGTGACAGGCAGGAGGAGAGGGAACAGAAAACACAGATGTGTAAGAGAGAGAAGCCGCAGCAAAAGAGACATAAGGGGAGAGAAGAGCAGATGTTTGACTGGTAATTAAGGTTTAGATGAATGATGCAGCTCTGAATCTTTGGCACCACAGGGGTGACAATGAGACCGCAGGAAAGACAGACAAAGGCTGTGTGTGTAAGAGCATGGGATGAATGTAGGGTAGGAAAGGAAGACTGTGAGAACAGCAAGTGAGGAGAGTTATATAAATAAATCAATGAGCTGTGTGCTCTCCACCAGCACAAATTGATCTATACTGAGATTACAAAAGTCAGCAGTGTTCACAAATGTCAGTTGTATTAGTCAGACTTGTTTGGAAGACAGACGCTTACATGGTCGTCCTGGTTCCAGTCATTGGGGTGACCTCCGCTCGCTCCGCTCAAATTACTCTGAGATCGTCTGGAACAGAATGAAAATATTTTCTTCAATGGGTGCTGGACACACACAGACTCCTTGTCTTTCTCTCTACCCTTCACCACTTGCACACCCACCCAATACCCAATGCACACAAGGGAGCAAAGAGATTGCTGGGTATTACAGATGAATGCTGTGCAACTGTTCCTGTCATTTTTTTTAATGGTGCTACTTGAGTTGAGGGATATGTTGCAAGAAATGAGCCATAACAATGATGAGGAAGAAAAAACTAAGGCACTCCAGACATTTTTAAAAAAGTAAAGACTGAAGCAAAAACAAGTGGAGCTGTCAGCAGGAGACTGACTCCAATGCAGTAAACAAATATGCTTTAAAAATGTACTGAGAGAAGCAAAAACGAATACAGGAATTTGGTTTACTTTGCTGCAGGAAAGCAGATTGGGAGGAGAGTCTTAAGTTATTTTTGTCTGTACAACAGAGTGAACACATGTGACAAAATCCAAGAGTGAAGGGAACACCGGTCTATGATTTGTGTGTGTGTGTATTTAGATTAAGTTGTCACATCATGAGGCGTCATCAGAGCCTTGTTCAGCTGTCAGCCAGAGTCGAATTCACTATTATCACTAATTAGAGCACAGAAATAGTTTATAGCAACTTTCTTCCCTGTATTTGTCTTTCAGTTGTCCTTCTCTTTCAAGAAATAAATGAACAAATACTGCAGAGCATGGACCACATGCACCCCTGTGTGAGACTGACCTGTGCTGTGTGTTCTCAGTGGCGGTCACTGTGATGAATGCAGGGGAGTCCTCCATGGCATCAAAATACTCAGTATCCTCATCTTCATCACTTGCCTCTTCTTTGTGTGGCCTCTCACTTCCTTCATTCAAGACATATGCATTTGTGAGTACATACAGACACCATACAGCACTAGCAGAGCCGTCACATGTTGGCGAGTTTGTATTGTACAGAGTTCAGGGCGAGAGTAGCGTATAATCACAGACCCATGGCAATTAATCAAGGAATAATCAGCTTAGTAAAATTGGCAATGTTCCTGCTGGTTAACTAGCCTGAATGATGCAAGTTCCTCAGGGGCTGCTTCCCATATTCAGTATCCAACATTTAATATTCAGTATGTTCAGTGATCCGTTATCTGCACAAACTGGAGCCTCTAACAGAAAAGCACAAATCCTTATATAGAGTGATCATAATGCTTTCTAATGAAAAGTGACTTTCAAACAAATACCACTATGAATAAAAGATTTACTAAAAATCAGTGGGTCTCTCCTTGTTGAAGGAAAAAAACACATGTATGTTTGACACAAAGGATGAGGAGATTTGAAAACTCAAAAAGTGGCATTAGAGGAAAGGTTATGGGGTCGTGTTATAGATTATGGTTATAACTAAAAAACCATGAAAAAAACCGACTGGATGGACAGAGGAGATGACATGACCTACAGTCCTTGGTGAAGGAAATTACCACCTCTAACGTAAGTATAATCCAATCCAGTCCTTCTGACACAACTTAAAATTTCCTTCCTCCACATGACGAATGCCTATAATATTGAGCCTCAGGCCACACATGACTTTTAGCCAGTAAAGTGAGGTCCACAGGAGTAAGTAACACACAGACAGTCAGTCTCACCCTTGTTGGTGGTAGGGGCACTGGGTGCGCTGGAAACAAGCGTGGGTGCTTCTCTCCACGCTCGCTCCAGGCTGTTATGCTGCTTGGCTAGCTGCTCAATGGTCTCCTCTAGGTGAGTGCGCTGCTCTCGCTCATACTGCAGGGCCCGCTGCCACCTCCTACTGTGAGTCTCTGCTAGGTCCAAGAAGTCTCGACACGCCTGGGGGAGCACATGCACATGCACACAAGAACATAAGCACAGAGAGAGCACAGAAAGTTTAATTTCTATAACACTGAAACTGTTGGTCATAATTCTCAACAAGGTGCGAGTTCCTTTCCCCTTGCTATCACTAATAGCTCAGATTAAATTGCATGGCTGTGAAATCCAGTCATCATGGGGATTTTGAAAAAAAAAAGTGACTTCTTTTGGTTCACGTTCAAGTTTAGGTTATACCTTCTTTAAAATAATACCATTAAAATCATACAGTTTTTATGAATCTTTAAGTCAACAATTAACACTATAATGAAAAAAGATCATCAGGACGTGACTTTTCCTGACAGCTGACAACAACATGAGAGAGAGAACACTGGGATGGAAAAAGGTATGGAGACATCTGTGTCATTCATTGTAATCAAGGAGACTAATCACCACTGTTTCAAACAATCATCTATAGGTTAATTAGCTGTCTGTGGAACATTTACTGAGTCTCCCTGCTGTGTCAAATGTGCCTTGGAGGAAACTGACAACAGAAAACATCATTGAATGATGAGCTGATTCCATAGCAGACTATATCTGAGTCAAGAGGGGGCATCATTGTTGCTGCTTTGGTTTTACTGCTGAGACAAAGAGGTTACTTCAGATCAAACATATATGTCAGCACTTGTGAGCACTGCATCATATATCTGACAGCTTTGCCTCATAGTGAATGAAAGGTCAATGAACCTAAGTAACACCTTACAGCTGACCACATCCACAAGCGAGGGTTTCTGAATAATCATTTTGAAACTGACGCATTACTATCAAGTATTTTTGTAGTATTTTGTGGGGGCTAGTTTTTGGAATTTCCTACATGATTGGAACAGCTCATGATTGCATAGGGTCAACTCAGTATTTGCAGCAAATGTCTCTTTGGTCCCAGAGCCAGAGGGGCTGTTGAGAGTGAGCTTCAACTACTTAGATAAAGTTGTGGCTGGAGGCAGCGAGCTGGAGGAATGAATGTGTCACATAGCTCAAATAATCTCTGTTCTCTGGTGAGAGCAGTCAGGATGTACAGTATCACCTGTAGGCAGCCGGAAGAGAAACAAGGATGCGGTAACCTCCAGAAAACAGATTATCTATCTGTCTGCTGAAAAAGTGCTTCTCTATCACACTGATACACTATCAGTTGGCACTTACTATTTAAAGAGGTAATATTTTTAGTGAAATTTGAAAGCTATTTCTAAGTCATATTACAATAATATATTCAATACGTGTGACAAATCTTAAATCTTACAGAGTAACTAAATTAATGCTTTAAATTTAAAAATGTATTTTTCATCTTACCATTTTGATGATAGGTGCTTTTAATTATCTGTTATAATATTATAATGATTCTTATTATAACCTTAATAAGTTAACTCGTTGTCATGCAAAACATCATCAATGACATTTCCACATAACTACTCAAAGAGAAGGGAAACCAGGAACAGAAAGAAGAGCTAAAACTAAAACATAAAACACATTATGACTATTAGACACTGTATGACTGTTACAATAACATCAGGATTTCATGTAGCACATGCAGTTGATATGACCATTCACTTAATCTTTGCACGTGTGTGTCTGGACTTTCTGGTCCTGAACAGAGAGTAAGTTGTACGATGAGCTAAGCTGGTGAGCTATATGTTTTCACCGGTGTCTGTTTGTTTGTCGTTTGGTTTGTTTTCCAGCAGGATTAGGCAAAACATTTGCACTGAACTTGGTGGAGGGATGGCACATAGGCTGGGAAAGAACTAATTTTAACTAAATACTTACTGTGAATTTGAATTTTTATTCCTCTAAAGTCTGGTGCATGTTGTGTGATATTGGCCTTGGCAGAGGTCTGCACTTTGCTGAGTGCCGTTTTACTTATAAATGTATTTGAGATTATTTCTGGAGCATTTTCGCTTCATTGGCAACTGACCTAAACTCCAGATATGGTTTAACATCTAAATGTCTTTGAAAAAAAATGTTTTCAAAAACAAAATAAGCAAAAATGAAAAAATATTGACATGTTCTCCAGCAATACCAATGTATTGATTGCTAATTATTATTATTATTCCAAAAGTCAAGATACAACACCATCATTAACAAGTTTTGCTTGATCCTGTGAGTTAAGGCTGGCCAGTTCAGGCAAGGAAAACAACTTTCCTTTGTTAGAACAAAAGAAAAAGTGATACATGCTTATCTTGTTGCTACTTGAGTAACTGAAAATCAAACGTATGGTAATGGTGCAGGTTCACTATATTGATACTGCTGAAATATCATACCTCTGTTCCCTTTATGAAAGTTACATTTCAGGTGTGTCTTAGAGCAGAAAATCCTTGACTGAAACTCTATTTTACTCAAGACACAATACAGAAATCACAAAATATCTAATACTGAATATGTTACAAGACTTGCTCCAATCAATCTCTTACCTTCAGCAGTGTTGCTGTGTCTAAACATCACTCTCTAAGCACCACTTTAAATGTTAGATGTGCATGTGACGTTGCGGTCAACTTCCTCAGACATAACCATGATATGAAACTCAACACCCACTTGAAAAAGTATGGTGGTTCCACTTTTTTTATGCTGACTCTCCAGTACAAAGAAAGACTGCATGTGATATCCGGTGGGGGAAGAAAAAAGCCAATGAGTAGTGAATGGGTAACAGATCAAAATAAAAGTCCTGGTGAAGTATGCAGAATGAGCGATGTGACCAAGAATGAAATAAACTTGATTTTGAATAAACATGTGATTAAACCACACAAGTCTGAGAGATACAAATTTGAGCTTGGATTCTTCCGAGAAGTTACAGCACCCCTAAATGAACTAGAGTGAAGGTCAGGGTCAGATCACTGAGAGCATGCAATTGTGTCTTGCCATTATGGCCTCCATCTTCCTCCAACCCCTCCTCTATCCTTTATTCCCTCCTTGCATGCATAGCCCAATCTCTTTGGAAAAGCACATAAAAACTACATTAATATTTTAGAGCAAAGGGCATGATTACAGTGAGTGAACCCACGGCTGCAGAAATCCAAATACCCACATCCTGCCTGCTCTCTGCTTGAAGAGAGCCATTTACAACACCAAAAACTACCACAGGGAGTTTGTGGCAGCACTTCTTTCTCATTAGAGGCACATTCTTAGCAAACTTAGTGATATTTTAATGAGTTAAGCATTCGAAGAGGGTCTATTTTATTGCTTTTTTCAAATAACTTTGAGTTTCCCATACCAATTGATAAAAAATGGATGACAAGAAGAAACAAAGGCCATTTTGAGTGTAATCTAGATTAAGTACTTTCTTTTTTATTTTACCCCATGGCTAACGTCTCTTAATAGGCAGAATTAGCACATACTTAACTATATTACGAGTAATAATCTCTTATTGCCCAATTTCAAAACAAATTTTAAAGTAAAAAAAATACTTGCAGTTTGAACACAGTTGAGTCTGACCAAATTATTTTACACCTATCAACCAGACGAGCAACTGAAAAATCAGTCAGACATGCATTATAGGAAAAAAAACATTCTCTGCCCAAGAATAGACAAAGCTATGAAATAATTCAAAGCCACTGAGAGAAGCAGGAAGAAAGACAAACCTTGTATGTATGATTGTCTGGCTTTAGTCAGAGCAGGTCTGTCTGTCTGTCTGCCTAACTGTTAGTCTAGAAGGGTCTGACATTCCTCACCAAGCAGGGAGGGTCAAGGGTTTGAGAAGAGTGGGAGAGCAGGGGCTATTCCTGTCCCCCCCACCCACTATCATATCTAGTATCACTCCCTAAGGGACCTCAACTCTCCCTGAACTCTTGTCCATTACCAACATACTGTAAAGCCCATGGTATTTACCATTGACGAGAATGGAACAACGCCAGATACAGTAGAGCATTTCTTATTATGATGCTGGTACTCAGAGCCAACACATCAGACATAGTGGCAACTGAGAACCTGGTCTTGTTGGTTGTTGTGTTTTGTTAAATGTAGTCAACAATGTTATAACTTGGTAAAGAGAAAGCATAAAATAAGAGTTTCATGTATGTTGCACAGATTGTATAGCTGTTTGAGGAAAAGTTTTCAATTTGTCATCTTGTACTATATCAATAAAAATGACTTAACTCATTCTATCAACAGCAGAGATGATAGTATTCTCAACAATACTAAGCTACAAGAAAAGCAAACCTCCATCAACTCAGCAGCTTAACTTTTTAAACATTAAATTAGATGGTAATGTTGAACAGGGTCTGGTGGGGTGTAAACCTGCAGCTCAGTTTCTCTGGTTTAACATTCCTCAATGTGAAGTGATCTCATCTCTCATCACTCACTAACCAGGGTATTATAGATGACTGGCATTCCTGTCACACTGATCATGCCAAAGCATGCAGAACTCAGATTACTCTCTGCTCACTGCTGCTGTCTCTTGTAGCCTGGTCTGTCCCAGCTACTTACATTGATCATAGCATTGGAAGTGATGCGGAAGAGGGTGGCCCTTTCGTTGACTGCCTTGATCTTCTCCCCTCCCTCCACGGGGACTTTCAGGCCCTCGAGTTCACTCAGGGAACGCTGCAGGGCCGCCCCATGCTTGGCGATCAGGTCATTACACGTGCTGAGGTCATCGAGCTTGCTGACAAGTATCTTCAGGGTACCCTGAATCTCGCTGCGGTCCGACTGGGATGTGGGCTCCTCGTCCCCTGAGTCATCTGGAAGGGAGGGGTCAAAGGTCACACAAAATATCTTAAAAAAAAGATATATTTCTTTAGAAAGGTATTTCATACAACATGATTAGATAGCTGCTGAATTGCAAAATAAGTGCAGACCTCTTCCTTTTTTAAACTAATACTTCCCACTAGAGATGCATTGACTTGACTTCAACCACGGCAAACAAATATCCAGTTTCTCCTCAGTGACCTCAACTGTCAAACCTCCATGACAGATAACTTATGACAGACGCTTAAAAAAAGTGTAGTGTTATATCAATAAAGATAGGAAGCCACAGTGTGTTGTTTACATATTTCTGTGTATTGGTAATGTGTTGCTCAATGAAAAACTACTTAGTAATCATGAAAACAAACCATTTAACAGTAATTTATTCAAATGTTGAAATTAGAGTTTATTATTATATTATTATTATAATTAGTCAGATTATACATATGGCTTTCTTTGACACACATAAATACACTCGTAAAACAGTAACACACTAATCATAACTTCTCCGGCTGCAAACATCCTTGAAAGCTTATTAAATGTCAATGTGAGCTGCATTAGGATATCTGAATACAGACAGCTCGCCCATACCCATGAGCCTTTGCTGTAGCAGCTGCCTTTCTGTATAATATCACTAAAGAAGGGTTACTCAAGGTTAAACAGAACATACGAGAACAGTGTTGCAGTGTCAGCTTTATATTACACACGTATATGCACAAACACACTGCAAGCACAAGCGCGTGTGCATGCACACACAGACACACAGACACACACCACACAACAGGAACACCACAAACACAAACAGACACACACACACACACACACACACACACACACACACATACACACACAGAAAGACAGAAATATACCAACAGTAAGACACACTCATATAGTAAAAGGAAAAAAGCAAAGCAGAACTACAAATTTTCGGAACTTAAATGGATATATGCATAATCTCTCTGGAAGAATAAATTCTACTCTATTATCTTTTTATAGCAAAACATCAGGGAACCTGCTCGTGGATTTTGAACTGAGGAAATATTTGAACACCTGTGTATCAAATCTGCATTAACACAATAAATAATTCCCCACATAAAAGCAGCTGTTTGTGTGTTTCTATTTTGATAAATGAAGCTAACAAAACCACACCAGAAGAGTGACATATGAAACTACTGATCCTGCTAAAACTAAGAAAACAGGTGACAAACTGGAAGGAGCAGGGGGACATGGAGAAAAAGAAAGAAAATGAGGACAAGTAGGAGAGCGCTGTTCATCTCAACAAGGAAAATATATTTCTGTAACAGTGAGGTTAAAGGTTCGAGAGTAAAGAGAAAGTCTCTCCACCCTCTTGTCCACCTTGTTGACCCTCTAAAGCTCTAATGTCTAGAAAGTGCTGTTCTGCTGTCTTCTACAGCCCCAGCATGCAGAGTGTGCTTTGTCACATTGAAAAGGTGTGTTATACAGCTGATAGGACAGACTGTCACAGTCTAGGTGAGAGGCAGCGCTACAGCAACACTTTCTCCCAAGAACAAGGCAGCTGACTGTGACCTCGCAGTGGAAGAGACTATCACCTCTGTCAAGCCTATTTACACCATGCAAGTTTAACACGGATATCTGCCCGGGGGATGCTGGTAGCCTGGACTACATCATGTAACAGCAATATACTGAGGTCAAATTTGACTGGGACCTTTGTCCAGTGGAACGTCCAGCTCCACTGGACAAACAAGCAGCACGTAGACATATCCACATGGATGAGCTGCTGGTTGGCATCTACAATAATGCTTCAGTTACAGTGTTTTCAAATTAATTTTTGTTAAATGCAATGGCAGCACATTGAATAATGAAGTTAATATGATCTTCCAAGTGAGTGACCTTTTTGAGTCCCAATGCAAGAATTCACCATTTAGAAGCTTTTTAATAGCCTTTGCAAAGCAGCCATGTGAGTATCAAGAGTAGAGTCTAACGGTTCATGTTCAGGGCCAAAACAAAACAAATATAAATATCTGAGACTTGTTTTCAGTTAACATAAACATATAATATTAATATTTTTTAAAGGGGTCCTCAGTCAGTCCACCTCTCTTGTCCAGGCTTATATGTCTAAACAGCTGCTGGATGGATTGCCATGAAATTTTGTACAAATATTCATGGTTCCCAGAGGATGAATCTTAAGGACTTTGGTGACCCTGATTTTTCTTCTAGTGCCACCATGAGGTTGACATTTGTGATTTTTAGTGAAATGTCACCAGAACCATTGGATGGACTGCCATGAATAGTGTTTCAAACATTAGTGTCCCCCTCAGGATAAACTGTATAGGAAAGCACAATGTACTTTAGAATCACATGTAGTGATCGTACTGTATATAGATGGAGTGGAGTCTTCCCATCTAGGAGTAAAGAGTAACAAGTGGCGTTCATTTTGAAAGAGGAAAGAAGGGTGAGCAAAAGGGAGAAAGAGAAAAAAATCTCTCACCATATTTGCATTCCTGGGCATCCATTTTCACCCAAAGGTAACCAGAGTTCAGCCAGGAAGTAGCAGCACACACACAGGCCACTGAGCTCTAGCCTCAGAGGTACTGTGTGAACATTGAATAGGCTTTCAGAGACACAAATGTCTGACCATTAGAAGAGACAAAAAACAAAAGAGTCCAGCCAAAGGTCAACCCAGCAGCCCTACAGCGGCAACAAAACCTAAAGAGAGCCTGGATCAGAAAATGACACCACTATGCACCCATTGCCAGCCAGCATTAGGGTAGGAATCAGATTACACTGAATTTCAATAAAGTTACTGCAGAGAAGGGAAAGTAAAGAAGATGCTGCTGAAGAAGAAGAAGAAGAAGAAGAAGAAGAAGAAGAAGAAGAAGAAGAAGAAGAAGAAGAAGAAAGTAAAGTCAGAAAATTGAGTGGAGCGTGTGTCAAGAGACGAACAGCTGCAGAGCAAAGTAAAAGAGTTGAGGGAGGAAGCCAAAGAGCAAGTTGAGAGAGAGTTGGATAACGAAATAAGCCTTAAATTGGTAAAGCGTGACAGAAAAGTTAGTTGGCAAGTTAGTGTAGTTTTGAACTTCCTCCCACAAGGCAACAATACGCCTGCCCCAAATCACATTTGATTGGATCAATTTATGCATACGCCCTAAAGTTAAAAATGTGAGTCATCAAGAATATCTTAAGGTTTTTTCAGGAAGAAAGAAGATTTTTGCCCAAAAGGGCATTTTATGCTTTTATTAGGTAACGATAGAAGAGAGATAACAGTAAATGGGTGAGAGAGATCAATATGCAAAAAAGGTCTGACTCAAACTGATCACTGTCTTAACCTCCAATACACAGGAGCACTCCAAAAAGAGAGACATTTTGATATTAGAAAAACATCAAAAATCATTTCAGACATATATTTACTTAGTAATAAAACAACAACAAAAGGACAGGGGTTTAGAACTTTAAACATTTAATTTTTATTTCATTGAGTCTTTATTTATTCTAAGAGAAAATAAATGAAAAACTGCTTCTGGAGAAACTGAAAATGTTCTTTAAGTCAAATAAAGACTAGACTGTCCTCGAGTTAATTTTGTAGAACAAGGATAACTGGATATGTGAACCAAAATGTATCTAATTAGAACACACAGCCATGGATATGCCAAATTATTATAACATTTCATTTTGATCTTGTCCAATTAGTGCAATTTTTCAAAGGCCAAAAGACAGTGGTGAGATGCACCATTGTTGCAAGTTTCCTCGATGTCTCATCAGTGTTAACGGGAGATTGTGTATTAAACATGAACAAACAACTAATCAGTGTACATTAAATTAACAATATGTAAACAATAAAATAAACAATATGTACACAATATATACAATAACAGGGCATTGCTATGAAAGTGAAAGTTACACACACAACCCCTGACGAGAGTATCTGTTAAAGTTCGAGTGGGTCAGCCATGGACAAAGGTACGGTGTTTTGAGAGTGTGCCAGGTGCAAAGACCTCAGTTGATTGCAGGGTATAATGCATCCGGCCCTCAAGTTCCTTCAAAGCAAAAAGAAACTACAGAACACTGGAGACTGACCCATAGTAACCCCTTCAGGGGAAATCAAACAACAACATCTTTTGTTCTGATGGAAAACCAAGGTTACTGAATGGCAAAGTCTCCACTGCCTGAGTTACAGTAGACTCAACACCAGTACTGTGCATCACGTCATCATCACTCATTTGAGAGTGTGAAATTACAGAGGGCCTGGATAATATGCAGTTCACTGTTAAAGGGACACTGGGAGGTAATAAGACATTTTAGAGGTGCTGAGGAAAAAACAAAAAGCATGAAAGAGACATTTCACACATTTAAAAAAAAAAAACTGTACATTGGCTCAAGATAATGATTGTTTCCAAGTTAATGATATGCACTGTTTGGACATTTGAAAGTAAACTAAAATAAATGACTAAGTGAGGACATTTGAAGCACTGCAGTCAAGGCTTGCTCATATTATTCACCCTCATTCTGCCAATGAGTTCAGCAGCTCTAAGCAATGCCACTTAAAAATAAACTGTCACATGTCCCAAGGAATATTTGTTTAGAAGAGACTCTGCTTACAACATGTCGTTTGCAAAACCTCTTCTCTTTCCAAAACCTCACTGAAACGAGCTGCAAGAGCACAGATGTGGGATATCGGCTCTGTGTAGACAGCTTGTAACTACAAGGAGACACCGGGACACAAAGCTTTCTTCAATCTTAAACAAAGTTTGTCACAAATGTCCTTTCTGCTCGGTCCTTTCAGTTCACTGAGCCAGATCCATGTAGCATCAATGAAATGTCAGGCACTAGCGGACAAGTTTGAATGAGATGAAAAGCTTTCACAATATCATTTAACAATATATAATAAAAATTCTTTCAACTGTATATCACTCAGACCTGGAAGAAAAAGTGAATACTGGGTTTTACACCAAAGCTGTAAACTCAGTAAATAGCCTGTCTATGTTGTCTGCATCAGTGTCACTGCCTAGCTCGCCCT